ACTCTCAGAAATCGGTTTCTCAGAACACACCATTGGTTGGTTCTCTATCTCTCGGATCGGAGGCAATGTGTTCAACATAATGGTACTTCCTCCATTTATTTAACAGTCAACAATGGTGTACTACAAGGCTCAATCTTAGGACCCACCCTCTTTACAATCTACATAGGTAATGTAGGTCAAAACATCCCTGATAACTTAATTAAATATATAATTTCCACCTCATTTCTGAAGGCTGGCCGCTCATATCATAACAGTCCCTGTGTCCCACATCGTTAACCTGTCCATAAGCCAAAACTCCATCCCAGACGCTTGGAAAACAGTCTTTGTTCTTCCTTTGCTGAAGGGAGGAGACCCCACCTCACTGAACAACTATCGACCAATCTTTAAACTCTGCATTTTAGCCAAGGTTCTAGAAAAACTGATAAACTCTCAAATCAGAAATTACCTGGACTCATTTAACATCTTACCTCACCATCAATCTGGTTTCAGGAAACAACACAGCGCAACGACTGCTTCACTGAAGGTTCTTAATGACGCTGTTGAAGCACTGGATGCTAAGGATTATTGTGCTGCACTTTTCTTAGACCTGTCTAAAGCTTTTGACACTGTGGATCATAACATCTTGTGTCATAAACTCTCAGAAATCGGTTTCTCAGAACACACCATTGGTTGGTTCTCTATCTCTCGGATCGGAGGCAATGTGTTCAACATAATGGTACTTCCTCCATTTATTTAACAGTCAACAATGGTGTACTACAAGGCTCAATCTTAGGACCCACCCTCTTTACAATCTACATAGATAATGTAGGTCAAAACATCCCTGATGCATCCATACATTTCTATGCTGATGACACAGTTTTTCTTATTGTCAAGCTAAAACAGTTGATAAGGCTTTCCAGCTTTTGCAATCTGCATTTAACATCATTCAGTCACATTTGTTCCACCTCAGACTTGTCCTAAATGCCGACAAAATCAAAGGGATGCTTTTTTCAAACAGGAAGTCGGTCCCAGGAGTTCTTCCTCCGATTTTATCCTCAAATGATGTCCCCATGGAGTTTGTTGATTCCTATAAATATTTGGGTATCTTGGTCAACTTGCATCTCTCTTTTAAGCTCCACGTGGAAAACCTAGTAAAGAAACTGAAAGTTAAACTGGGTTTCTTTTTCAGAAACAGATCCTGTCTAACTCTGAATGCTAGGAAACACCTTGTATCTGTGACCTTCCTTCCCTCCATTGATTGCGGTGACATTATTTACATGAACGCTCCTACAAGAACCCTGCAGATGTTGGATGCTGTCTATCATGGTGCACTAAGATTCATAACTGGCTGTGATTATCTTACCCACCACTGCACCCTGTATTCACTGGTTAACTGGACATCATTAACTTCACGCAGACTCTCTCACTGGTACATATTCATCTTTAAATCACTTCTTGGTCTGCTGCCTTCATACATCTCCTCCTACATGTCTCTGCGTGAGTGCAGCTACAGCGTGCGCTCTCAGGACATTATTACCTGCAGTGTTCCATCAGTGCGGACTGAACTAGGCAAAAGGGCCTTCTCCTACTCCGCTCCTGTTTCCTGGAATATCTTACAAAAACATCTGAAGCTCTCGACCTTGACCTCTCTAAGTGGCTTTAAATATCTTTTGGACTCCTGGCAAGGACCAATGCAGACATGTTCCTGTTTTCAGTTTTCTACATTCGCCTTATAATCTAGCTGTTTTTGTTACTTTTTTTACTTATTATTTGTATTTAAAAAAAAAAATCTGTATGCCTTTTTATAACTGTCTATTGAAAAAAGGTTGAATGAATGAAAAATGCACGAGAGGAAGAGGAGGAAATATGCAGTTCATCTTTCTGCCGGTAGGAAGTGGACCTGAGTAGTAAAGCAGGATGTTTGACATCTCATGTAGAATCAATAGAAGAAGAGTTCATTCAGCCATTACGTTTACAGGCAGGTCGGAGCCGCTCTGTGGAGGACAGGTCATTAGCAGCCCGACAAAATGTTGTCCGTGAGAGTTGCAGCAGCTTTGGCCCGAAGCCTGCCCAGAAGAGCCGGATTTGTAAGTATTTAAACTAAACAATCCACAGCTAATAACGCAGTAGCATTTAGATTTTTGCAGTATTTTGAACATGGGTGTGAAGGGTAAGGCCGCTAACTCTAACAGGCTTGTGCCATGGACGCGGCTTTAAACGCAAACATTCGGTAATATCCTAACATAGTGGCACATAATTTTGTTTTGAGTTGGAACAAATTTTGTCAAAAATGTCCCAGCGAAGACACGGATCTTAAGTCCTGCATATGCTAACGGTTAGCAACAAAGCTAACGCTGAGCTCGGTGAGCCACGCTTGAAGGTCAGGAAGCACTGACGGCGCATGTCCTTTCTGCCGCACAGCCTTAAAAACGAGCTCAGCTTTATTTTAGATGCGGGTGTTTTTTTTTTTTTTATTCTTGCAATGTTTGTCAGAAACGTTCATTTGTTCTCCATGATCACTGTCCTTGACTCCAGGTGTCCAAGACTGTCCCGGCTGCCTGTGTTGGGGTCAACCACCTCCACACACACCGACCATGGCTGCAGAAGACTGGTGAGACCAAACACAACATGATTCACTTTTTCTTCTTAATTTGTCTCAACTCTTTCTGATCGTTAAAGATTGATGAGTATAGAAGTATAGAATGCCTAAGCGCTTAATGTAATCCCTGATTGTTTAGTAAAACTTGGCCATAAGAACAATTCTCATGCCCTTTTTTTTTATTGTCCTTGAGATTTATTTTACACAATGTGGTTATTAGTTGTAATTTCTTAGAATATCTAGAATATATTAAATAGTTCATTTGAATTAAATCCAGATATTTTGCATCATAACTAAAGATCATCTTTGTTAAACACATACATATTTGGCAATTTGCTTCTCTATAACCTGAACTTGACTCAGTTAAGCAATGAACTTGGCTAAAGCTTTGTGTATTCTTTTACAGGCACAGCTGAGGTGTCCTCAATCCTGGAGGAGAAAATCCTGGGTGCTGACACCTCTGCCGACCTGGAGGAGACGGGACGTGTGCTGTCCATTGGTGATGGTATTGCCAGAGTGTACGGCTTGAGGAATGTTCAGGCTGAAGAGATGGTGGAGTTCTCCTCTGGTCTCAAAGTATGTGTAAAATAATTTTTATACGTTCTTTTTGTTGTCAAATAAATAGTTGATTTCTCCAACACTAAACCAACCTTCTTGTCTTCCAGGGCATGTCTCTGAACTTGGAGCCTGACAATGTTGGTGTTGTGGTGTTCGGTAACGATAAGCTGATCAAAGAGGGTGACATTGTGAAGAGAACTGGTGCTATTGTGGATGTTCCTGTGGGTGAGGAGCTGCTGGGTCGTGTGGTGGATGCCCTGGGAAACGCCATTGATGGAAAGGTTATTTGAAGAGTTACTACTTTAAAATAATATAGCACAATTTAGTTGAAAATGATAACTTTTTGGTACATAAATGAGTCTTGACCAGAAGCTCTGAGAAATGGTAAATCCGATATTCAAGTTATTTAGCTTTGAAGTGTTAAACCAAACTGGTATTGCAATCAATGCTCAATCCAGAACTTTAAATAATGTATGAATAATAATTTTAAAATATCTTCTCCTTTTGGATGTTCCCTCTTCAGGGCTCACCACAGCAAGTCATCCTCTTCCAACTACCTCCATGTCCTCTTAACTGCATTCATATGTCTCCTTGTCTTTTTTCTGGCAGCTGCATTTCTACCATCCTTCTACCAATATACCCACTGTCCCTCCTCTTGACATGTCCAAATCATTTCAGTCTGGCCTCTATAACTTTATCTCCCAGTTGTTCAACCTGTGCTGTGCCTCTGATGATCTCATTCCTAATCTTATCCATCCTTGTCACTCCTAAGGAGAACCTCAACATCTTAATTTCTGCCACTTCCAGTTCTTTCTCTTGTCTTTTTGTCCATGTCTCTGTCTCCAGACCATACAACATAGCTGGTCTCACCACTGTCTTGTAAACTTTTCCTTTGACCTTTGCTGCCACTCTTTTGTCACAAATCACTCCTGAAACATTTCTCCATCCTGTCTGGACTCTCTCCTTCACCTCTTTACCTCACTCCCCATTTTCCTGCACAGTGGACCCCAAGTATTTGA